GCGTGTAGATTAGGTACGCAAGACATGGATGCTCGAGACTCGTTTTGTGGTCCTGCCCAACAAGATTTCACGTAGCTCTACCCACCTACTCCTCCATGTCTTCGATCGTTTCCATCTCGCTCGCTCTCGGGAACCTACCTTACTTTGCTTGGGTACCTAACTCCTTCCAGCGCCGGTCACTCCCCGTAATTGTCATACCGCCGTGGACCACATCAGCACAGTCGTCTCGCACAATTGCTCAATAGGATACAGCAACCCGCCTTTTCCTGCCGAAAGTAAGCTTCATCGCCACCGCAACAGCCCACGGAGGAAACATCACCTCAATCCTCCCGCCCGTCTCCCCTGTCCAGCAATGGCTCGCGCCTGCGGTCAACAAGCCGTGTTATAAAGCCATCCTCACTGACGGCACGATGCCTATCGGATCCGTTCTGTTATCCGTAGCCACCTCTTGTAAGCCACCTTTTGTCGTCACTCCCCTCTTCAGTTCTTCGCTGTCCGTCTCTCTACTCCTCCTAAGAGACCAAAGGCAACTCCTTTCTCTGCCGCAGCGCCCTCTTCTTCATCAACAACCCTTCCCTCCTCCAAAGCTTCAAACTGGAGTCAAAACGATCCCTTTCAAGCCTCCATTCCCCATACCGCACGAGGAGCCTTGTCCGGGTTGATCGTTAGTATGGCTACGGATACCTTTATCGGAGGACGGCCGTTGCTGGTGTTCAATTCGTACGTGGGATGAACGGTTGGTGAGGGTGCCGGTGAATAATGCTGCTTTTAGTGTTACGCTACCGAGGGATGGGATTTGTTTAGGGAGTGTGGGACGCTGGGGGTTTGTATCTTGCAGCGGTTCCGGTTTGGAGAGGGGGCGGAGCAGATGTATGAGAGTTGTGTTGATTCTGTTGTCAGGCGTTGGAGTGGAAGGTGGAAGTGCGAGAGGGAGGGATGAGTTAACTGTGAGTTAAGGTCGTCAAGGGAGCTGAGAGGTAGGTCGTACGAAGGGGTTGCAGATGGGAGGGGACTCAAATTTGAGAATACCTGTAGGTGTTGAACCGGTCAGTTACTGCTAGGATGGAAGATATTGAAGGAGTATTCTCACATAAACCTTTGCATACGAAATACGGCACGCAGCGAACTCATCTTAAAGGGAGCTGCCTCTTTCGGTGATCAACAATCATCAACCACGTAGTCCGTGGTATGATCTTTGACTCCGTCGTATTGTCCGAACTCGGCCTTGGGCCAGAAAGGGCAAAAGGCGACAGTTGTTTATATTGTATTCAAAGGAGGGCAACAAATCACAGCCCGGGCATCGTCGGCATTCGATAGTCCTGGACCTCGGTTGGTTTTGAGATTACAACCTGTGCTTACGTCTGCTTATCGCATCTTTAAGATCGTATCTTGAGGGCAAGCAGGCATCTTTAATACCATGGAGACGGACCCAGATCATCGTGAATTGTCGAATCTTCTACGAGGTTAAAAAGGGGAAAGTCGGAGAATCGCGTGAGGAGAAAGTTCGCCCAAAGAGGTTAAAATAACCGTTTTGATAAATCGCCAATCCGGCTCTGGGCGTTCCTTGCGGTTGGAAGGCCGGTAGTTGAATTCCGAATTGGGGAACTTTTCGATATCTGTTGCAGCACTTCAGGTTACTAGGTTGTCGACAGAAGTTGTCCACAGATAAAGATGAACTTGGCGATACCATTAGCGTCTGATAAAACATAATTGTTAGCTCCATCCGACTCAATCAGCTGAAGGCAGCAGGTGGTGCACTAACAGCGCCGGCTGTCTTGGCCCCCTCGAAATCTCGGAGGGCACCCCTCTGGTTGGTGCTGTCCTAACCTTTCAATATCAATATCCGTCATCGGCGACATTGTGATTGGTAAAGAGAAGCCTTGGAGGTAGCATTCTTTATCGACTTGCCCGCAAAAGTTGGCCCCGCTCTGCTGATAGAGCTTATCGTGACTTACACCAACGACCGTCATTCATTCAGCTAGCATCCTTAACAGATTTGTTGGTAGAATATGTCTAGCTCAGTTAGTGGTGCAGTACCCAGAGCTCCGATACCTATCTATTCACACCCACTTCCGTGCCAGACCAACCTTATCGTAATGGCCATGGGAAGCAATCGACAAATGACAAGATGATTCGGACTTATCGACTCGAGATGTGTGTCACCTAGACCGACTGGGACGAGCTGTTGAAGATGAGGGGCAAGCCGGATTACAAGTATCTCTGTCATCCCCCAAGACACCTCATGATGACCCCAGGTATTCCCGTGCATCACCAACCCTCCCACATATATCCTACCAGCTGAGCTCTTCATCTTTCCTCACTGCTCCTACTCATCACAGTTCTGAGCATCATCCATCAAGATGGGCTCTGTCGACACCACTCTCCCACACCCCTTTGATCCCCTCTCGCGGGAGGAAATCGAAAACACCATTTTCACAGTCAAGAAGGCCCATGGCAATGTTTACTTCAACGTTGTTTCCCTCCAGGAGCCTCGCAAGGCTGAGATGACAGCATGGCTTGAGGATCCCACCAAGGCACCCCGACCAAAGCGTCTTGCGGACGTCGTTGTCATTGCACCTGGTGGCAAGGTGTACGATGGCCTAGTAGATCCGGCCAAGGGCGAGATCATTTCGTGGGAGTGGGCTGAGGGTCAGCAACCAATTGTAAGTGGTGTCTCTCAGGTCTGGCTATGAAACGTGAGATGGCTAACGTCTAGGGGTTAGTTGACCATGGAAGAACTCCAGCTTGTGGAACACATTGCCCGTAAGGACCCCAAGGTCATCGAGCAGTGCAAGATCAGCGGCATTCCCGAAGAGGATATGGACAAGGTGTACTGCGACCCCTGGACAATCGGCTTTGATGAGCGCTTTGGCTGCTCGGTACGGTTGCAGCAGGCGCTCATGTACTACCGCCCCGAGCTCGACAATTGCCAGTACCAGTATCCCCTCGACTTCTGCCCCATCTACGATAGCGACAAGCAGGAAATCATTGCCATCGATATTCCCAAGATCCGCCGGCCACTCAGCAAGGCTCCCGCGTTCGATTATCACCCGGCTGCCATCGAGGCAAGGGGCGGTTTCCGCAACAACCTAAAGCCCATCAACATCACCCAGCCTGAAGGTGTCTCATTCAAGCTCAACGGCAGGGAGATTGAGTGGCAGAATTGGAAGTTCCATATTGGTTTCAACTACCGCGAGGGTATCGTGCTCAACAACATCACCTTCAACGACCAGGGCACTGTCAGGCCTATCTTCTACAGACTCTCTATAGCTGAGATGGTGGTCCCTTAGTAAGTCAATGATATCAACCCAAAAGCAGCATTCAGACATGAGGGATACTAACCCGACAAACAGCGGAAACCCCGAACACCCTCACCATCGCAAGCACGCTTTCGACCTGGGCGAGTACGGCGCCGGCTACCTGACCAACAGCCTTTCCCTCGGCTGCGACTGCAAGGGCTCCATTCACTACCTCGACGCCGAGTTCCCTACGCGCGTCGGCGGCATTCGGAAGATTAACAACGCCATCTGCATTCACGAGGAGGACGCCGGCATCTTGTTCAAGCATACCGACTTCCGCGACGACTCCGTCATCGTAACGCGCGGCCGCAAGCTCATCGTCCAACAAATCTTCACGGCCGCCAACTACGAGTACGTGGTGGCCTGGATTTTCCACCAAGACGGCACCATCCAGCCCGAAATCAAGCTGACGGGCATCCTCAACACGTACATCATGGATCCCGACGAGGACACGCACGGCTGGGGCACGCAGGTCTACACCGGGGTAAACGCGCACAACCACCAGCACTTGTTTTGTCTGCGCATCGACGCCAACGTCGACGGGCCCAACAACTCCGTGTTTGTCACGGATGCGGTCCCGGGAGAGGCTCCCGTCGGCAGCAAGGAGAACTTTTATGGTAACGCCTTTTACAGCAAGCGCACCAAGCTGGCCACCACGGGCGAGGCCAAAACCGACTACATCGCCCAGACCTCGCGCACCTGGGAGATCTGCAACCCCAACAAGCTGAACCCGTACAGTAAGAAGCCAGTGAGCTACAAGCTCGTCAGTCGCGAGGTGCCTACCTTGCTGCCCAAGGAGGGTTCGCTGGTGTGGAAGCGTGCTGCTTTTGCTCGCCATTCGGTCCATGTCACCAAGTGTAAGCCCTTAAACCCCATTTTCCCCCCTTTTCACTTATAACGACCCATATCACTGACAAACCTCCCTACCACCATAGACCGAGACGACCAACTCTGGCCCGCCGGCCGACACGTTCCTCAAACCTCAGGCGAGCCCTCGCGCGGTCTTCCCGAGTGGATCGGCGACGGCACCGAGTCCATCGACAACACCAACGTCGTTGTTTGGCACACCTTTGGCGTCACCCACTTCCCCACGCCCGAGGATTTTCCTGTTATGCCGGTCGAGCCCATGACCCTGCTGCTGCGCCCACGCAACTTCTTTGCCCGAAACCCGGTGCTGGATGTGCCCCCCAGCTATGCAAGCACGCCGAGCCAGCTGCTGGCTAAAGGCCAGGGCGTGTACGATGCGGCGGATAAGTTGAGCAAGTTGGCTTTTGAGGTGCCGAAGGAAGTGGATGGTCAAGGGGTTAGTGGGGCGGGTAATGGTGCTGGCGGTTCTGTGTCTACGTGCTGTAAGAATGGTGATGGTTGCCAGTGAGTGTAACGCGTTGCGACTGGGTTGAAGCTCGAGATGGTCGAAATCGGATGGCTTGGTTTGAAAATTGGCGTTCTTGGGGTGGTCGATTTGATGATTTTTGGACATTGTTCTTTTTCGTTGTGTAAAAATATCCAGTCAGCTTGTTCCTCGTCACTTTTTGTCAGCCCTGGACGGCTGCTAAATGGGTGGGACTCTTGCCCAAAGATGAGATTCATGTGCTACCAGTAACTCCTTGAACGTATTGTACAGCGTGATCCATGCCCCGCCATGCTTTCCCCAGCATGTTATCTTTTCCCCCGAACCAGCAATGCAACGTCGTGAAAAGTATTTAGTTCTGTACTCTAACAAAGTCCGTGAAAGACAATCAGCCGTCCACAGCTCTCAAATAGGACGGTGCCTCTAGTGAGTGAATGTCCAACATCGCCCACTGTCCGTTCAACCATCTATCCCTTTCTGAACACTCCCTTCCCTGGTTCGTCAACAAAATAAGAGGCCATGCCAATCCAAGCTCCCGACCTCTCCTGTCTCACCCGTCATCTCGAGCCGCTTATTTCTTGACAGCCTGGTAAGGATACCAAGGATCCGCGTCCTTGCGGGTCCACACCTGCCTGCGCTTCTTGTTGACCACATGCTCGACCCAGATCTCATGAGCGTACTTCTTCTTGAACTCGCGAATGAAGCGCGGATCCCACAACTCTGACGCAATGCCCAAGTCCTTACAGCACCGCAGCAAAGCATTAGACTTGCAACCCTCTCCGGCCGTGGGTATTGTCTCCTCGGAGAAGTACTGGCATTCTCCACGGGCTTGGGCGACGAAGCTTTTGAAGAGTCTATTAGCTTGACCACTCCATTATAAAGTAGAGAAATGAAGAAAAAGGGGATGAAACTCACCGACCACCAACAATCAAAGCATACTCTCTCGTCACCACCTTCTCCCCCACCACCAACTCCCCCCTCGGCGCCAGTCCCCATCCGCCGGGTCCAAACGCTTGGTTCAGAATGCGGCGGTACTTGATCTCGGGCAGGTAGATGATTCCATCCGGCTTGACCTCTACATCCAGCGGATCAAGCGGCTGCATCAGGATCTTGGCGACCTCGGGGCTGAAAGCCTCCGTCGACAAGCCGTGGTAAGACGAAGACCAGTCAATCGTCTTCTGGGCCGCGCCGTTTCCATTAGCGTTGCTGTTAGCACCGTTGCCCGTCAGGGCAGCAGTGAAGGCGCCCTTCTTAGTGCCGTTGTTGCTGGCGTTGTTGCTGCTGGGAGTGGGAATTTGCGCCGCAAGCTCGGGGTCGACATCCTCGAGGGTAGCGCCAGGGACTTGAGCGGCCTGCGGGTCGAGGACTACAGGCATGGGGGTCTCTTCGATATCGGTGGCGGAAGCCTGCTGCTGCTGCGCAGGGGAATACGGCTTTGCGGAGGGAGTGCTGATGCCGGCGGGCTTGGATGTGGACGAGGATGCAACGGGCTTCCTGGCATTGTTGGAGGGAGTGTATGACTTGGGAGTGTAGGTGCCGGTTGCGGATTTGGGTCTCGAGGTTGTGATGGGCCGTGACTGGAAGGCGGCGAGAGTCTGGAGGGTGGAAGAGGGCGAGCGCAGAGGCCGGCAGGCGGCCTGAAGAGCCTGGGAGCGCATCTCGAGTTTGTTGTAGTCGTTGTTGAACGCGAACGTTTCAAGGGCGAGGCGTAAGCGAGGTAGATGTATTATGGTTCGAGAACGCGATGGTGGAAGATTTTGTTGATTCGGTGGTTTGTTCCGAGAATGGAAGAGAAAGTTGAAGGGAATGGGATTGTAGTGTATGTGTAAACAACGAAACTGAAGTGAATGCGACTTGCAGAAAAATGGTGGACTAGTACACTAGTCGACGGCGGGGCGCAAAAGCAGGCACGACGTAAGGACGACCCATGCAGCACGGCTTGGCACTGAGGCGAGTACATAAAGGCGAACGGAGATTTCCACCAAGTCAAGTCAAGATCCAGTCGGTTTCTGTTCCCGAGGAGGGAGCTTGGGCCAACTGAGTCAAATGTTAGTGATGTTGCATTTCTATCCTCAAGTACCCTACAGGCAAGTTCTCACGACAGCCCCTTCCAGACACAGTGATGACTCGACATCAACTTCGAAAACTGTAATTTTTTGAGGGGAGAGTTCTGATTTCGGTTTTTACTTGAGCACTCAAGGGATAGGTAACCTGATTATACATCCTTTGTGTCTGTACGCCTATCGTTGCCCTGGAGCTTCCAGCACTGCCTGAATCTCTCCATCTGTTGTGTTTAAACTCCACGTATTAGCGATAAGTGGTGCCTTTTAACATTTTCAAGATTTTGAAGAGTTTCACTTGCCTCGTTTTTGCACAACCTCCAATCCTTCTTCTCATAGTAACAATCGGTCAACCTGGCATTCTCGTCTGTGGTGTACGAAGGACAAGTGGAAGTTGGTTAGAGAACAGTGAACTTCACTCCCAGAAACAACTGAACTAAACAATCTCGCTGGTGTGGCAGGAGGTCTTACCGGAGCACCCAGTGCTGAAGATCCGCTTGTCCCTGTAACGCCCGTGGCAGTCAATGTCAGCTTACCCCACAAAACAGTAAAGGAACGGTCCGGACCTGCAGAGGAACGGTACCTCAAAAAGGAGCCGGATAGGAAGGGGAAGGAAGGAACAGCTAAGGCATAAGTAGTGTCTGCCAGGTGATGCCTTTCGTCCGGACTCCGCGGCCATTGCTCGTGATTTTGTTGAGTGTTGGGGGGGCACCGGGCGCCAGGAACCCTCTCATATAAATCGGGCTCTTACCATTCATCTGGCTCGTCATCTTGCTGGCTGCCAGTAGCAGGAGCAGCACTCGCAGGCGGTCTTTGCTCGGGCACTTTGTTGTTGCTGGCCATTTTCAACCGCTTCCTTTCTCCTTCTCCTCCAGTTGAGTCTCGTTTTCTCGGGTTGGCGCAGTAGAGAGGTATCGGCTGTTCCTGAGTCTTTGCTGGTACGAGTGCCTTCCAGTTTAGGTTGTGTCGGTTTAGATTGTTGTGAACTGAAGGCACGGTGACAGTGCCGGAAAAGGGCGCAAGTAGCCCTGAAACAATCCACTAACAGCTAGCACAACAGGAACCCCAACAACGTACCCACGACGCTATCTCCTACAGACGGGGTCCCTCAATCTTCATCTCGCACCTTTTTCAACACAAGAAGCGCGACAAAACTGACTACCTAAAGACTCGAATTTCTCTTGTCTTCACGGCAATCATGGCTACCCGCCTGAAAACTGACCAGCGGGTACTCAATGTCCTGATCTACGCAGGTGAGGTCGCCCGTCCTCTGACACTCAACTGAGATTCCATGACGCTGTTGACTAACGGCTTATCCAGGAGCGGGAGTAACCCCCGAATGTCTCCGCCAATGCACCGAGTCCCTGAAGCGTCTCGTGGGATCCAAGTACGCTGTTTCCCACATAACAGCATCGATTCTCAAGACCGAACCCTGGCAGTCAACTTGTGCTCTGTTGGTCTTTCCTGGTGGCGCCGACCTCCCCTTCTGTCGCGACCTCAACGGCCCCGGCAACCGCGTCATTGCCGACTACGTCCGCAACGGAGGAGCTTACTTGGGCTTCTGTGCCGGAGGCTACTATGGCAGCGGCCAGTGTTGGTTTCAGCTCGATGACCCAAGCCAGGATGTCAAGGGCCCGAGAGAGCTGGCTTTCTTCCCGGGCACTTGCGGTGGTCCTGCCTTCAAGGGATTCCAATACCACTGTGAAATGGGCGCCAAGGCTGCCAAACTTTCTGTGAGAAAGGAAGCCTTCACTGGTGGCCAAGCGCCGCCTGATGTCTTCAAATCGTACTACAATGGAGGCGGAGTCTTCCTCAATGCCGAGGCGATGGAATCCGACGGGGTCGAAATCCTTGCCGAATATGCAGACCGTATCGATTTCCCGTCTGGTAAGACACAGGCTGCTGTGGTATTTTGCAAGGTTGGTCAGGGTAGAGCCATACTCACAGGACCACACCCAGAGTAAGCCGCGGACTTTGAACTACCTTGGGGGTTTTCTGCTGACACAAGCTCAGATTCTCTGGCACCTCTTTGAAATCGCAGCCTGACATCCCGGGTTACGACAAGCTTGTAGAGGAGGTGACGGCGGACGAAAGTGCACGACTGGAATTCCTTGCGGCATGTCTCAGCAAGATGGGGCTGTCACTCTCTCCCAAGGCTGCATGGGATGATATTCCCCGACTAACGACCATGTTGAACATCTACTGCCAGGGAGGGCACCTTGAGTCCCTCCTAAACCGCCTCACGGGGCGAAGCTATGCGGTCATAACTGATGGGAGCATCTGGCTCGAGGATAAGTACGGATCGGATATGTTCCATCTCGAGTGGACTACTGACGGCTCATGGTCAACCAACTACGAACCACGAAAGTCTGACAAAATTACTTGGCGACTCAATGTTGGCTCTAAGGTAGCAGGCCAAGGTGACGACGAGTCAGGCACAGAGTTTGACCACGACATTTACTACGCCAGCCTGGAAGAATTTAGAACGCTTGAATCCAGCCGTGGGTTCAGTACATGGAAGCAAGCATTGGGGACGACACATGGCGCATGGTGTCCGACCCTAAGCTGGGGCAACCACTTGATGTATGGGGACACTGTCACGAGTACTAATACTTTGCTCTCAAGGTAAGAGGAGGCACACTTCTGTACACATAACCAGACACTGATATCGTGCTGCAGCAACCCCCAGCTTCTTTCCAAACTAGAATCCGGCTTCACCTTTACCGCCACTCGCCAGGTGGCAGGCCGGGGCCGGGGCAACAACGTCTGGGTCTCCCCCGCCGGCTGCTTGATAATGTCAACGGTCATCAACCACTCAGCGAATGTAATTGCTTCACGCCCGTTAGGCTTCTTCAATTACCTGGCGGCAATTGCTATCGTCGAGGCGATCAAGGGATACGACCACGAGGATGACATTTACCAAAAGTTGGACGTCAAGATCAAGTGGCCGAACGACATCTACGTTCGAGACCCGAGCAAGCCCAACGAGCCAGCCTACGTCAAAGTTGGCGGTATCCTCGCCAACTGTTCTTACAGCGCTCCGAATTATCAGGTTGTCCTCGGCATCGGACTCAACACGAACAACGCCCAACCCACGACCAGTCTCGATGCACTTCTTAAGTGGACTGCTAGCATGCTAGAAGGCGAAAAGCCATCTCCACCGCCGTTCAACAGAGAACGCCTGGTGGCCAGAATTGTCATCTGCCTCGAGATCCTCTACGACCACTTCCTGCGGAAGGGCTTCTCGGACGAGGTGGAAGCCTTGTACTACAAGCATTGGCTGCATACCAACCAGATCGTCACCCTTGAAGATGAAGACGGCGTGAAGGCCCGCGTACTGGGTATCACCAAGGACCAAGGCCTTCTGGTGGCCGAGGAGGTCATGGAGGACGGCATCGAACTGAACTCGTGGAAGGGAACGGGCACAATGTTCCAGTTGCAGAGCGACGAGAACGGGTTCGACTACTGGAAGGGACTGATCAAGAGGAAGGTCTAGCAGAAAATCACTGACATTCCTATTTCTGTTTCGATTCCCAAGTTCGCCCAACCTCCCGGTCACAGCAATGGGGTATTTGGGATGTCTCCTTCTGCTGAGACATTTCATGGGCCTCTTTTGGTTCAGTCTCGACCCTTCAAGAGACCATATTCACCTGAGGTAACCGTGACTGTTACTGAGCTTCCGGAGACTCCGGCAACGACTCCCAAGAAGGCGAGACTCACTCCCGACATGAAACCAGTCCAGTTGATCCCAGCCATCGTGGTGACTTCGCCGGGCAGAACGAGCCGTGTCCCACACCCGGGATACTGGTGGTATGGGTGATCATGCCTGAACTTCTTGGTACCTTGCTGCAGTCAGCGCAAGTCTCTTTGCTCGGAAATCATTTGAGTCGATGGAACAAGTTGTCAGAGTTTGGTACCATCACAGCCATGTTTGCATTCTCTTCAGAATTTAATTGGCATTTTTCGGCGAATTCATTTCGGCAAAGAACAGCGAAACATGGTATAGAGGTTAGAGTAGATGGCACATGAGCGTTATGAAACAACAAGCGTTGCAGTTGGAGATGTAGACACTGGATACCGTTGGTACCACTATTATCATAAGAGATACAAATAGAGTGCAGCCTTTCCAACATGTAAAGCCATGACGAGAGTACATAGTCAAAGTTACCTACCTAGAGGTACCTCGTGTAGCTACCAGTGCTTTCATTTGGTCGTTACCAGTCACCTTCACCCGCGCTCTTCCCTTTGTGGTAGACCCAAGAGAGACGGGTAATAAGATGTAACTCATAGAGGCAGGTATAACATCAAGACTCACGCCGATACCTTATCCACTCATATCTTGATTTGAACAGAAGTGATAGAATTACACGTGGTAGGGGCCAAATGACCCCTGCCATTTCTCTCTCGCTATGAATTTGCAGAAACAACAACCATGCATCCATCCGGCAAACCGCTAGCCCTTGTCTTTTGCCGAATCCTGTATATACCCTCCCTAACCGCGAACGCCAGGCCTGCCGAAGTCGAGTGAAGAGTTTTTGTTTTTGTATGTCTGTGTGTTTTTTGTACAAGTCGGGACTGGAGAATGGGCGGTGATCTTGGCCGTGGTCGGGCGGACGGTGGCATTCCTAGTCACCCCTTGACTGCCAACCGCCAGTATCCAACGAAACGTATGTCAAGGCGGCACTGGCCCGGAACGGAGGGCGATGGAAGGGAGAAGAAGGAAAAGCATTGTTATCGTGTGCTGGTCGTTTCGTTCTCTCCGTCGCCAAGTCGTATCATCGTGTAAAAACGGGGGAATGCAACAATCGATTTGACCGCAGTAGCAGTCAGCCGTAGCTTCCCCTTCCATCAACTTCCGCTGTGTGTGTGTGCATGTGCATGCCGAATATGTGCAGCGTCCCCAACCCCCAACATCACCAAGCCGCCGCTACCACCACCACCATCTCCGCCGCCGCCGCCGCCGTCCTTTCCGAATCGAATTTTCATCTCCAGTTCTCAAGACGTGTTCTGTCGGTCATGCCGCGTGACGATCACCGATCCTTGTAAATCTTCGGGTTCCACCCTTCTTTGACCTCCTCCTCGGCCTGCTTCTCCTCCATCTTGGGCTTAATCTCAGCCTCGAGGCGCTCGCGCGCCCGCACGACCTTGCTCTGCAGGTAGAAAGAGCCGCCCTTCTCCGGGTCGTTGGCGTCAAACAGGCGCTTGAACCGCTCCATCACCTCCTCCATGTTGGCCGCTGTGCCGTCCGCAGGCTTGTTGACATTGAGAATCTTGCACGCCTCGTCGAGGGTCATGCCGCTGGTCAGGCTGGCGCGTCCGGTAGCAGCGTTACCGTTCTTTTGCTGCGCACGCTGGTACTGCGAGGAGGCGGCCGCTTGCTTGTAGGCCTCGGCGAAGGCGCGGCCGAGCACGCGCGAGCCGACGACGACCACTTGGGTGATGAGACGGTAGGCCTAGAGAGGTTGGGAAGGGGGGGTTGTTAGTTGGCTTGTGTTTACCAAGTATGTGGAAAGCAGTCAAGTCCGGGAACTCGGGAATAGACGGTTGTGCATCGCAAGCAAGCCAGCAAGCAACCAAGCAAGCAGACAATGTGGCGCAACTTTTGTTCAACAACAAGAAAAAATAATAAGCATACCATTGTGACTATATGTGAAGGAGGAGCTGGCCCCCGAAGTGGCTAGCAATGGACTGGGTGGGCAGATGGGTGTCTGCGTCGCGGATGCAGAGGTACTTTGGGGGGAAAGTTGTCGGATGCCGTAACACGGATGGAGATGGAGATCAATCGATGGATAACGAACCGTCCAGGTCCCGTCGATAACGACGGCGCCGCCAACTTCAAAAAATTGAGCCGACAAGAGATGGGCCGGACCGCCGATTGCCGGAAATTCCTTGGCAGGGTCTTGGCATCTTTCCGGCAGCCTGTTAGGGCGGTAGAGGTACGTGCCTTTTGCCTGCCCCGGCCTTGTGCTGACCTGCTGTCAATGACATGGATGGGCTGCTTGCTGCACGCTGCAACGGGTCGGGTGTGACGACTGTGAGGTGACACTGCCGTGCCTCTGGACGGGCGGGATGACGCCTGAGGCACCAACCCACCACAGAAGCCTCCACTCACAGGGGCCTGGACCTCTGAACCACAGTGTTTGAACGCTGCAGTAAACACTGAACCAGGTGTAAGCACAAGTGGCCCGAGCAGCTGGCCGCCAACCGTTTCAAGAGGGAAGGGAAGCTTCCACTTCCACCACGACTTTTGTGACACGAATTGACATCTGAAAAGGAAGCGCAACGCAACATCATCACGACCCTTCGACTTTTGCCGTCGGCTTTTTTCTTGTCAACACTCACGCTCGTTGATTTCCGACTTTCTTCACCGAATCGATTTTCCATCATCGATTTCCGACGCTGTTTTCGCACCCCACGAACGCGCATTAGAAACGACGGGACGCTCAAGTGCAGCTATTATTGACAGTTTGCGCCTACGTCAGCTGGTACCTACGTACTCGGTCACATCAGCCCCTGTGAATCCACAGCTTCCCCTTGTTGACGATCGGGGAAGCACAACGACAACTCTACAACCACCACAACACTCCCTCACATACGAGAGCGGACCACGCCGTCACATCACCAACCATGTCGCATTACTACGGCGCACCGCCAAACCAGGGCTACGCCCCTTCCAACGCCCAGAACCTGCAGTTCTACCCCTCCTCATACACACAGCCCGTGTCCGGCCACGCAACACCTTCACAAGCAGCATACGGTTACGGCGGGCCCTCGTCATCGGGTGGCTATGGCGTAGGAACCGGCGGCTTCTCCTCCGGCTTTGGCGGTAGCAGCGCGGCCGGCGGCGTTTCGGGTCGCATGGGCGAGCAGGGCGGACTGAGGACCGGATGGCTGGCGGCCTTTTCGACGGAAGGGTACGAGGGAGAGCCTCCTCTGCTGGAGGAGCTGGGCGTTAACTTTGGACATATTCGATCAAAGGTAAGTTGTTTTGCTCATCTTCTTTCTTCCTCTCTCTCCACCTCCAGCTCTCTAGGAAGGACGGCATACTAACTAAAAAATCAAAAACAGACCCTAGCAGTCCTCAACCCCTTCGGCCGCATCGACCAACACCTAATGGACGACTCCGACATGGCCGGCCCCGTCCTCTTCTTTTTTCTCATGGGCACCTTCCTCCTCCTATCCGGCCGCGTCCATTTCGGCTACATCTACGGCCTCGCCCTCTTCGGTTCCATCAGCCTGCACGTCATCCTCTCGCTAATGGCTCCCTCGGCCGGTGTTCCCTCCTCCTCCTCCGCCTCCGCCTCCGGCCCCGCTGGCCCTGGCGCCTCAGCACAAGCCTACTCGTCCTACCCAGGCCCGTCCGCAACCTCCATCTCGTCCGCCTCCATGTCCGCCGCCGACCACGACCACAGCGCCGGTCGCTCCACTTTGACCTTTGCCCGCTCCGCCTCGGTGTTGGGGTACTGCCTGCTCCCGCTCGTGGCCACCAGTCTGGTCGGGATCGTGATGCCCATGGATACACCCCTCGGCATCGTCCTGACGAGCGCGGCCATCTTGTGGTCGACCTACTCGGCTAGCGGCATCTTTTGCGCCGTGTCGAGGATGAGGAGCATGCGGGCGCTGGTGGCGTACCCGCTTGCACTGTTTTATGTGGGGTTTGGTATTATGAGCGTGTTTAGCAGCAAGGGGAGCGGGTCGTTTGCCAAGGTTGGAACGGCTTCTTCGTTGTGATGAGTCTGTGTGTATAGTGTGTGTGTCGGAGAGGGACAAAAAGTTGGTAATGAATATGGGGGGGGGGGGGTTAGTGGGACAGGGTGACGTAGATGTAACTTGGGTAATGATGGGGTTATGTATGTATGCTTGGGATGGGTTGGGTCGGTTGGTTGACTGGCTGAAATGGTGTCCAGTGTACTTCCTGCTGGGTATCAAATATACAAAAGAAATCAAACCATTGACGATGCACCTCTTTTTGCCTTCTGCCTTTTAGCACGGGTTGATGAAAAGCATAGTGGACATGAAACTGAACGTAATGCAAAAGAGTTTAATCATCATAATATCTATTAGATCCAAGATCCATTCCATTTCACTATATTCCGTTCATCCGTTGGAATAAAAAGAGCCCTCGAAACTCCCCTCTGTCATGATGAATCTGGTCGTAGCACGGAAAATGACAGCTGCTAGCAAGAGGCCTATGAAAAACTCGTACCACGCAAAAAGTAACAGTTCAAAAAATGATGGAAAAAATAAACACCAGCCTGCCGAGCGCCCCAACCCTCCCTCCCACACCGGAACGCCCTTGAGCAGTTTATAATAGCAACTGAACACCAACACACCCCTAATCTCTCCTTGCCACACAGGCAAACCAAACAACGACCAACAAATTGCTCCGGACCGCTTGCTTTTTGATGAGTTTGTGACCAGACCAGAAGACCTTGAACCAAGGCCAGTGCCAAAGCCAGTGACCAGTGAAACCGAACGGTTGTGAAAAAAAAAAATGAACAAAATATTCTGTCCGTGACTGGGACCATTGTTGCTCAGCAAGACAAAACGTCGTTTCTTTCTTCCCACCTCTTTCAAGCTTTTCGCTCTCTTTGTCTGGTGTCTCCTTACACTTCCCAACTCAACCCATTCCTTCACGTGTTCATCGTCTGTCTGGCGTTATCCTTGACTCTTTTTTTTTTTTTTCCCCCTCATTTCTTGGGCTCAGCGCCAAGAATAGAGTACTGACCACCAGCGCCAGCAAAGATGATCTTGCGATCGCGAATCGCCGAGTTGTCGATCAGCGTAGGCGTCTCGATATCGTCCGTCGTTCCCTGGCCGGTCTGGTAGTTGGCCGAGAAGCCCCACGAGTAGACCTTGCCGTCCTCGGTGATGGCGAAGCTGTGATCGGTGCCGGCGGCAACATGGACAATCTTGCCCTCGATACCTGGCACGACGGCAGGCTGGACCAAGATTCTGGGCTTGTCCTTCTCGTCGAAGATGGTGTTCTCCTCAGTAAACGAACCCGACGGGTGGCCGACTTGGTGCCCATCGATGCGGCCCCACGTCAGCAGCTCGCCCTTGTCGTTGGTCGCGAGCGAGTGGTGCTCGCCACCGGCAATGTCGACAATGCTGTGCTCCTTGAGCGAATCCACCAGCTGCGGCTTGAGGATGAAGCCGCCATCGGTGCCGGCCTCGGCCTCGATGCCCAGCTCCGCGTAGTTGTTGAGACCCCAGCCAATCACCCGGCCCTTGGTGTCGATGATGAAGCAGTGATATGAGCCGCAGGCGAGTTTGGCAGCCTTGGCGCGTCCGGGAAGCGTGCCGATGCTGGCGGGGAAAAGGGCGCCGTTCTCGTCGCGCTCGAGCAGGCGGCGCGCAAGTTGGGCTTGCTGGCCGGCGCCCCAGGCGAAGACCTTGTTCTTCTCGTCGAGGGCGAGAACGTGGTTGGAGCCGACGGCGAGCTGCTTGATCTTGCTGAGTTGGGTGATGAGGGCAGGCGTCTTCTGAATCAGCACATTTCTGGTGAAGCCGAGAATGCCTTCGTTTGACTGTAGAGATCAGTTAGTATCGGTAAAATGAGTGTGAGACCCTGGCGCAACATTAAATCAACTTACCCTGAAAGTACCCCATCCGTAAACTTGACCAGTAGCGGTCAAGGCAAAGGTAGCGCTGTCGCTGGCGACAACTTGAACCCAGACGGTACCCTCGGGAACGTCCGTGGTGTCAATCTCGCCAGGCGTGCTCTCCTTGGGGTTGAGACCAGTGTCGTCCTCATCCTCGGAGTCAGATTCCGCATCGGCGTCGCGCAGACCACCGTCCCAAGTCGTATCGCGGCCGAGAGCGCCCTGGTCGTTGACGCCCCAAGTGAGGATCTTGTTGTCCTTGGTGAGCGCAGCGACGTGCATGCCGCCGCAAGCGACCTGAACGATGCCGCTAAGGTTGTGGTTGATGCGCGGACGCTTGACGTCAATGGGCTTCTTTCCGTCGTACTTCAGGCTGCCGAGACCGAGCTCTCCCGAGGTGCCTTCACCAAAGACAAAGATGTCCATCACTTTGGTGGGCGCCTCGTTGATCACCTTGCCCAAAGGCTTCTTCTTGGGTTCGGGCTTGGGCTTCGGGGCGGCCTTGGCCTTCTTGGGCGCGGGCTTCGCGGCTTCATCTTCGTCGGTCTTGGCTCTCTTAACCATGGGGCGAGTGCCGTTGACCTGCTTCTCATCGGCAAGCTCCTCTTGCTCCTCTTCCTCCTCGTCCTCCTCGCGCTTGCGCTTGGCGCCGGCGACGCTGTTTTCCTTATCAGAATCCTCCTTGGCGGCGGCAGCCTTCTTAACTGCAGCAGTCTTCTTAGGGCCAGCAGCCTTTTTGGGCGCAGGAGCCTTCTTCGCGGCAGCCTTGGGAGCAGCAGTCTTCTTGGGAGCAGCGGCCTTCTTCGCGGCAGCCTTGGGCGCAGCAGTCTTCTTGGTGGCGGCGGCTTTGGGCGCGGCCTTGGGCTCCTCCTCGTCCTTCTTAGCAACCTTCGCGGTCGTCTTCTTGGTGACAGTAGTAGTGGTCTTCGTCTTCTTGGTTGCTGTTTTGGCGGCAGGCGCGTTCTCCTTCGCGGTCTGCGTCGCGGCGGCTCTCTTGGGAGGCATGATGTGAAGTGAGTCTGTCAGGAGATTTTTGGTGGTTGGGTTCTTTTTCGAGGATGATTCCAAGCAGTACTGAGAGCTGGAATGGGGACAATTGGTGATATCGAGGATGTTGCAAGCTGAATTGTTTGCAAAGACGCGTTGTTAATTTTGTGCGATAGCGAAAAGAGGTCCAGGTGCGCAAGAGTGGGTTGATGTTGTGAGGGTTACCCTGTCGCAATTGGGCAAAGGTTGGGATTGTTATTGACGGGGGGGTGCGGAAAATAAACGGAAGCGGAATGGCGGAGATCGGGAGTCGGGAGAGCAAAAGGAATTTGGTGGCGCTAGGTTCGCTTCTTATTGAGCCAGGGGCCCGGGGGGAGTACTCACATGACCCGACCCCATACCCAAAGCTTCCTGACCCAAGTGGATACGCCAAGACCGACCCCACACTGTAGAAAATCTTTTAGCTGACTATTACCCCTTTAATACATTGCATACATGCCTTTTAACTTTCCCTATAGAGAAACAACCGGCGCTTTTGATCCCAATAAACGAAATTTACCTACGAATAAAAAATATACAAATCCGAACAATATTAGCCCGAATTCACCCTTCTATAAACCTTCCGCAATAATTCGCAATAATACCTACATAATCTATCCCTAATTAATCTCTAATTTATTATACTCGACGTAAAATAAATATTTACTTTATTTCTAACATTAATATTTTAATTATTATTACTAAGTTCGGTTTAATTAAATAGAATAATAAAGTATTTAATAAACTATCTACTATATTCGAATTATAGTAAATTGCTAGTATAGTAGCCGAATTTAATAAATTAAAAGATTTAAAAGATATAACCCCTCCTAATATTATAATATTTAATAACCTCCTAGTAAATTTTACATTATATTATTAATATATTCTAAATATATCCTATATTAATTAATAATTAATTTTATAATATTAATTATATAAAAATTAAAATTATAGGCCTAACGCTCATTTTATCTAATAGTATTAATTAATACTCTATCTTTATTGAAATAATATATTATATAATTACTATTTTAGAATACTTTAAATCTTTTACTCTTAGTATAATATATATTATAAATATTAATAATTTAATTAAAGATTAGGTTAAGGCTCTATAGAGCGAAATATATAATAGTAATATTTTAAAATAAAATAGTAGTATAAATAAAATTAATATTTAATTATTCTCTTATATCCTAAATTTAGTATTATATCGCAAGGAAAATACTTACGAAGGAAACTTCCTCTAATTATCTAAATAACGTTATCTATTATTATACTATATATAAATATACCGGTATTAAATATTATAAATATTTAAATTATAGAGTTTAGTAGGTATATAAATAAGGGTCTATACTTATAATCGATAAAAAAGTTATAAACCTTTTATTTTAAATCCGCCTTTAATAGGATAAAATCCTTTTAATTAAGCGAATTATTAAGTATAAATTTATCTATAATTTATCCCCGGCTTTAATTATATTACTATAACTTAATTAATGATAATTATTATTTACTAATATAATTTTTATAATTAATTGGGTATAGGCGGCCAAAATATATTAGAAAATATAGGACTATAAAGAATCGAGGCTATTTTGCAAGTTTGTTTGGCATATAAGTAAGGTATTTCCTATTTAAAATATACCCCTTATAATTAGTATTACTTATATTCCTAATTTATTTTTATTAAAATAATTACTAATTATACTCGCTATTAGTTAAAATATTAGAATTTAAAGCCGGGAAAAAGGATATATTTTTTTACTAGCCTCCCTAATAATTTTAATCGATTCTAATTAGATATTAAATTAATAATTAAAAATTATTTAAGGGACTTTATATTTAAATTATTGTATATTAAAGTATATACTAAAATATATTTTATACTAGTAAGAAAAGCTAAATATAGTAAATAGATCTTTCCTCCTTATTTTAAATATTTATTAAAAATTTATTAATAATAAATTAAAAACCGAATACCTATAAAGATATAGTACTATCCAAATTCGAAACTACAATATTATTATTAATATTTACATTCTAACCGATATTAAAACTATCTTATATATTATTATAACTTCCTATAATTAACACACACACCCACCACCACCTCCTAATAAAATTCCTTAATATATTATTAATAATTTAATAAGGGTTTTACAAAGAGTAGGAGACCCTAATATAATTTAAAGTAAATAAATTCCTAATATTAACGATATATTAAAAATTAATTATTAATTAATTTATAATTTAGCGACCTTAATTTATAATTTATATTTTATTTAGTTTTTTGGCGAATACGGTATAGATACTATTAATTAAATATATATAAGTTTTAATAATATTAATAGGGTTCGGTTAATAATTAAAAAGTATTACGCTTTTATTTAGCTATTAGGAATTTCGAGTTTTAAAATTATAATATACGAATATTAATTAAAATACTAAAATCTAAATATTTGTGTAAGTTTATATATTGGAGTTTTATTAAGAGTAAATTGCTAAATTTTTTTATTAAATAGTATATTTAGAAAATTCTTAACGATGGAACTAATTTTATAATTATTTATTTCTTTAAAGAGTAGGTAAAGTTCTTTCGTAAAGGTTTTATTAAATCCTTTAAATTGAATATAAATTATAAGTATTTTTCTAGTACGTAGAATAGAAAAATTATATAGGGTTTCTATTTAGAATAGTTGAAGCGATGTAAATTACTAAATTATTTTAGATCTATCCTTAATAAATCCCTAATAAATCCCTAATTACTATAGTTTTTCCCTTTGTCCGTATTCTAATTAATATTAATTTACTAAATATATACGCCCTTATATTTAAAACCGTATTTAAGATCTTCGAAGTTGATTATAGATATATAGTGAAATAGTGGGAATTGGACGGAAAGGGTCTTTATAGTATTATTATAAATTAAGACTTTAAAGTACTTATAAGTAGATTTTTTATTTAATGTTCTATTTTTGATATATTTGTATTAATTTCCGGTTAATTAATATAGGGTTTTTAGTATATATTTCTAAGAGAAATTATTACCGCCGTAGGCCTATGTATTTCGCTAGCCGTATAATACAATTTTATTATATCTACTTTAAATGTAGTATTTAAAGATACGTTTAGAATAATCTTTAATTGTAATAATAAATAGAAGGTTTATTTATATATAAAACCCTTAATAAATATATATAATTTTACTATTATTTGAAATGTAAATTGGGCTCTATTATTTTAAATTTATATTAGATTTCTAATCATTTATATTATAAAGAATTTATAAAAGGAGGTTCGGAATTGGGTTTAGAATAAATCTATTTTAATTATTTATATTAAGTACAATTATATTTATTTAAATATAAACTAAGAGATATAGGATATACTACGACTAAATATTAATATAGTCGAAATACTATATTAATAATCCTACCGTTAGAGCAATTGGTTTATATCGCTTCTTCCGTATATTTATATATATATTTATTACAATTAGGGATTTATTACTGATATATCCAAGATTTATTATTAATATATTCTTATTAACTTACTAGTAGGAATATAAGATTCGATTGTACTTTTATAGTATATAAGGAAATTTGGATAAAGTATAGTATTAAATTTAAATATTAAGCTAATTTACTAATGGATTAATTAAATTGTAATATAACGAAAGTAAATAGTAGGTTAATAGTTTATTAATAATTTACTTAATATAATAGTAGTTAATTTTATATAAATAAATGAAAGAGGGATAGTACTCTAATAAGAAAAGAGAAAATAGTTAAGAAAATACTAATTTATTTCGATTTAATAATATTTTTTCGTCCCTTAGTTCCTCCTTTTATTTCTATTCTACTAAATTAAGTAGGATTAATATTTAATAATTCGTTAATTATATTATTATTCTAAACTTTTAATAATTATTAATTATTTGTATAGGCTTTGTCCTTTAGTATTATAATTCTAAGGTTAGTTGGATTTTTGTATACTTTAATAAAATATAATAAATTTAATATTTAAATTAGATGTTTAATATTATAAATATTTATTCTGTGTATGCGAATATTAATTTAAAGGGTAAGAGAAGTATAGGCTGTAGAGAAGGATAGAGTATTTATATATGCCCTCGAATTTAAAATTCTTTAAATAAAGTGAATTGAAGTAGAGAAAGTATGTAAAAAGGAATATAAAGAGGTAGCCGAGGCGGAAATTATAAGTATTAAAATATAAAAGAAATTATTAAAATATAAATAAAATTATAGGAATTAATAAAGGGGGGTAAATAAGTAGGAATTGGGGTATATTTACCCGAAGTATTAATTTACTATACGAATATTAGTAATTTAATTAGGATAGATCCTTGTATAAGATCCTTATTTTATAGGATTTCTTAATAATGGAAATCGATTAATAGTTATTGGGCGACTAATAGAAGATCGATTATTTATATATTTATAAGGTTATATTATTAAGCGAATAAGGATTTAAATATTATATAATTTAAAGTTTATAAGTTATATAGGGACCCGGATTAATAATTATTATATAGTAAAGTATAGTAAGTATATACCTAAGGTAAATTACCCCCGTAGAACCCCTCTATATACGGTTCGTCCCGCCTTTATATATATAGGGAATAGTATATAAATATTAATATAATAATTATACCTAACGAATAATTATAATATATAATAATAAAGAACGTTTAAAGGGATTAAATAGAAGTGTAATATAAAATCCTTTATTGAATTTATTAAGTATTTATATTAAAATTCCCTATAATTTACTTATGTTATTTCTTTATAGGGAAATATTAGTATAGTCCGTACTTTAGAGTATCTACCCTAAATTTAGGTAGATCTATATTAAATTATTTATATAATTCTTCCTCGGTCGGTCCTTCTAATTCCTCTTTTCCTCTTTCTTTTAATAACGTACTTTCTAAATAAGATTTCCCTATAGGGAAATAATATAAGTAGAGAAAATTAATACTTTATATTCTTATAAGAGACTTTTAATAATCTTACCCGTTATAAATATAAAACCCTCCCCGGTCGTCCCTTCTAATTTATATTTCTATTTTTATTTTTTAAATAATATAGTTTAAAGTAAAGTTTCCCTATATAAAAATAATATAGGCAATAAAGACTAATATTTTACTTTATTGTAAAAGATATTTATTATTTTAATTATAAGTAATATTATTATTTTTTTTATAAGGAAATAAAGTAGTAGAAATAGTCAAT